TTGTTCCTATTTTTCCATTTTCTCATATTAATCCCATTCCCTTCTATCCTTTCCCCTAGCCCTCCCACTTCCGTCCCCTTTGCTCCTTTCCTTCCTATTTCACATTACCTATTATACATTTTAGTTTCTCTGGTGTGAGAAACTGAAAGTGTAAATAAGGACTAAAATTTATAATAGGATTGATATTTTAAGACTGAGCCACTGAACAACTACACAAAAACTTCACATCAGGGTTTCCAGAGTAACCTCTCCACAGTGTTGGGGTGAGAGATAGCGACAAAAGACAGGTGCAGAGAATGTCAGGACTAGATATAGACCCCCAGAAAAGTTGAAGCTCAAGCCAGAAAGGACATGGGAGTCTTCCCCTCCATTGTGAGAAGCCAGCCCCAGCTTGTGCAGCTTTCAGAGGTGGTTGGATCTTAAAGTGCTGGAATTAAGTTCAGCAGTCTGCTTGAACACCTACCCAATTACCTACATCTAGCACAGAGATCAGTAGTCCTACTCCTTTTTCCATCTACCAACATGAGGAAGGATATGGCTTGGCTTGGATGGTTGCCAGAACCTGGAATGTATGGATAGAGAGGCATCTGGAGTAAGCTAAGGAGGGCACATCACAAACCCACAGACCATAAAGCTAGTCAAAACCATAAATTGCTGGTTTCCAAGACTTCAGATCCTGGAAAGAAACCACTCATTCAAAAATACAGAGTAATTTTTATTTTGAATTCACTTTTTCTATATTAATTGGATTTTGGTGGGGTTGCGTTTTTCTCTTTTTTTTCCATTTGATTTCTCTTCCTTTTTTCCTTTATTTTGCTCTCTGCTTTCTCTTCTTTTTGTTTGTTCTTTTTTGTTACTTTTACCTAGTTTTACTAATTTCCTTTTACAACTCAATAGGATCTCTTTTTTTCCTTTTCTCATATTTATTCCTTTCCATTCTTTCCTTTCCCCTACCCCTCCTACTTCCCCTTAACCTTTGGAACATTTCTTCCTATTTCACATTATGATACATTTTGTCCTTATTTACATTTAAATGTCTCACACCAGAGAAACTATTTAGTGTTGACATGTGTGTCCTATTTATTTCACTTAAGAGTATGGCCTCAATGTTCATTCATCTTTTATCACACTTTTCACCCTACACTCTTATCTGACATTGCTTAATTTTTTCAAATTTCACTTCTTTAATTCTCCTATTCTCCATCCTCTCTATCTTTACTAGTGAAACTATTAAGCTTTATCAGTCTTTAGATAGTCAACTCTATACTATACAGCTTCATTATTTTGTCTTGTTAATGGAGGTATAGTTGTTACATTTAAGTAGCTATTTACTGTACTTCAGTATTCGGTTTATCTTAGTGTTTGCACCATAACTCTAGCTCTCTCTTCCATGGTTAAAGGAGGTAAATTATTGGTTCTTATGGCACATCAATATCCAGTTTATCTTTAGTGCTATTATTGTCACTGATTTTGTTGCTATTGCCAAGGTGGCATAGTTC